TAATCTTGATGAAGTCCCAACAGTTTATTTTTGCTCTTGATTCTTTTGCTTTTGGGGATGTGTCAAGTAAGAAATTGCTGCGGTGGAGGTCAAGGAGGTTGTTTCCTGCTTTCTCCTCTAGGGTTTTGATGATTTCCTGTCTCACGTTCAGGTCCTTTATCCATTTTGAGTTTATTTTTGTGTATGGTGTGGGAAAATGACCTAGTTTCACTCTTCTGCATGTTGCTGTCCAGTTCTCCCCGCACCATCTGTTAAAGAGGCTGTCTTTTTTCCATTGGACACTCTTTCCTGCTTTGTCAAAGATTAGTATTAGATTTGTATACTTTTGGGTCTACCTCTGAGTTCTCAATTCTGTTCCATTGGTCTATATGTCTGTTTTTGTGCCAATACCATACTGTCTTGATGATGACAGCTTTGTAGTAGAGGCTAAAGTCTGGGATGGTGATACCTCCCATTTTGGTTTTATTCTTTAGTATTGCTTTGGCTATTTGGGGTCTTTTGTGGTTCCATACAAATTTTAGGATAGTTTGTTCTAGTTCTGAGAAGTATGCTGGTGCAATTTTGTTTTGTTTTTTAATATTTTTATTTATTTCTAGGAGAGAGAGAGACAGCGTGAGCAGGGAGGGTCAGAGAGAGAGGGAGACACAGACTATGAAACAGGCTCCAGGCTCTGTGCTGGCAGTCAGCACAGAGCCCGATGCGGGGCTCGAACCCACGAACTGCGAGATCATGACCTAAGTGAAAGTCGGAGGCTTAACTGACTAAGCCACCCAGGCGCCCCTGCTGGTGCAATTTTGATTGGGATTGCATTGAATGTGTACATTGCTTTGGGTAGTAAGGACATTTTAACTATATTCTTCCAATCCATGAACATGGAATGTTTTTCCATTTCTTTGTGTGTTCTTCAATTTTCTTCATAAGTTTTCTATAGTTTTCATCATGCAGATCTCTTATATCCTTGGTTAGGTTTATTCCTACGTACTTTATGGGTTTTTTTGTACAATTGTGAAAAGGGATCAGTTTCTTGATTTCTCTTTCTGTTGCTTCATTGTTGGTGTATAAAAATGCAACCGATTTCTGTACGTTGATTTTATACCCTGCAACTTTGGCGAATTCTTGGATCAGTTCTAGTAGGCTTCTGGTGAAGTCTGTTGGGTTTTCTATTGTCTACCTGTATTTATGTGATGGTTCAGCTAGAAACTTTGTGTTCTCAGAAGTCAACCACTTTACTTCTGTTTTTTCCTTTACTTCTCTCCCACTCTTGTAACCCATTCTTTAGCCAAAAAAATGAGACTTCTCATTGTCAATATTGCCTCAGTTGGGGCTACAATGAGCAGGGGAAACCATAAGTAACTATACAGAATGGAAGGCCAACATTGGCATGGTTCATGTACTGTTTAGCTCACTTGGCAGGGGAAGCTTTTTTTTTTTATCCTCTCACTGAGTTAGCCATATAACCCACTGCCCCCTGTCAAAAGTATGTCCATATTATGCTCATACAGATATAAAAGAAGTAATAACTCTTCTTAGCATTTTATTATTATTTTTCCTGAAGATTTGTGGCATTTTGTTGTACATCAGAATTGTGCATTTCTCATATATTCCCAACTAAACTGAAGTTTTTTAAGAGTAGGTGTTCATTTTTGTACCTCACAGTGCTTGGCTCATTATAGCACTGAGTTAATATTTATAGAATAAACAAATACATGTCTTACTGACCATCTAGATTTAAGCTCCAGGTGAGTAAAAATATATCCTATACTTCTTTTGTATCCCTAAAGTGGCAAAGCAAAATAAATATACCCTTATCCTTAAATACTTGTTAATAAGAGCCATTTTTTAGTGCTTCTTACATGCCAAAGTCTAAGCACTTTGTGTACATATCCTCACTAGAACATACTCTCCTTGAGGGCATAAACTGTTTTGTTTGTGGGCATATTTGCAACATGTAGAACAGTATCTGGCACACAGTAGGTGCTCAATGATTATCTGGTGAGTAAATTCCAATGAGTAAATTCATAATAACTGTAGAAGGTAGTATTATATAAAATTATCCTAATTTTAAAATGAAAAAACTAATGCTTATAAAGGTAAGTAATGTGACAGGTGAAAGTACATTAGCCAGGATCTGTATGTTGGTTTCTCTTCAAAGTCTGTTGTTCACTATAACACTGAAGTTTAGCTTCTAGCCTCATAGAGGCTGTGACCCACTAGCTGGTTTCAGGCCCTTGAATGGAAAGCTGGATGGTGTGTCTAAAGATAGTCAAATCTTTC